CCTGCATTGTGTCTTATATGCTTCTTGTGTCTCCTAGTCTAATGCTTCTCGATTCTTTGTCTCTCATTCCCGGGGACTGCTCTATCAAAGAGCATGTGTTTGTTCCACCCTGCTAGAATTAAAAAGCTCACTCTTTCCGAGAAAAAAAAGTTTTTGTCATTGTGTTTATAATGTAATAAGTTTTAAGGACCTCAAAAATGCAGTGGTATTGTTCCCAGCGTGGTGTCGTGATAGACTAGGACTCTAGAGAACAGGCTTCAAATCCCCACTTGGCCGTGGAAACTCAGTGGCGGAACCTCACCTTAAATGTCTCACTTACCTTGACAGCCCTCTTAAGAGTCGCTGTAAGTCAGTTCTGGCTTGACAGCACAGAACATACACACGTGGTTGGGAGCAAACGTGAAACAAAGATAGCAATTCCGTTAGGAGTTGAAAACTAATGATACTGTTGGGTATAAAAAAAACTACAGTTATGGGGATTATAGAACACAAAGATAGTAAATAACAAATTGCAGTAGTACAGGAAACAAATTTTATTGTTGTTATTGTTTAGTCATTAAGTCGTGTCCGACTCTTCGTGACCCCATGGACTAGAGCACGTCAGGCCCTCCTGTCTTCCACTGCCCCTTGGAGTTTGGTCAAAGTCATGTTGGTAGCATCGATGACACTGTCCAACCATCTCATCCTCTGACGTCCCCTTCTCCTCTTGCCCTCACACTTTCCCAACATCAGGGTCTTTTCCAGGGAATCTTCTCTTCTCATGAAATGGCCAAAGGATTGGAGCCTCAGCTTCAGGATCTGTCCTTCCAGGGAGCACTCAGGATTGATTTCCTTCAGAATGGATAGGTTTGTTCACCTTGCAGTCCAGGGGACTCTCAAGCATCTCCTCCAGCACCACAATTCAAAGGCATCAATTCTTTGGCAGTTAGCCTTCTTTATGGTCCAGCTCTCACTTCCATACATCGCTACCGGAAAAACCATAGCTTTGACTATGCGGACTTTTGTCGGCAAGGTGAAGTTTATTACTATCACTCATACCCAAAGAAACAAATATAATATTTCTGTTAGCAATTGATTTCCAAATGAGCCCGACTCTTGCAGGAGAACTTGGGAACTGATGGAGAGCTAGTGTTTACCATCTGTACGGAAATGGCCCGGTTCTCCCCCCACCCACCCCCGTGGGAGGCGTTCCAGGGATTGAGAGACCCTCTTCTAGTCCAGGAAGGATGCTCTTGCCAGGCCCTGGAAATCTGTGAGGTTTTTTAGGTGCCCCCGGGGGCTTCCTTGCTGTCGCTGGTCTTACCCGAAGCTACAGGATTATTATGGATCGCGTCTCCTCCGCCTAATTCCTGGAACGAGTCTTCCCTTCTACACCGAAGAAAGAAGGGAGAAAGGGGGAGGAGGGTCATCAGGGCTGGGGGGGGGGGGGGGGGGGGCTATCTTT